CCGTTCCATTCCATATCATCTATTCTATTCTATTCTGTTCTGTTCTGTTCTGTTCCGTTCCGTTCCATTCCATATCATCTATTCTATTCTGTTCTGTTCTGTTCCGTTCCATTCCATTCCAAAAATTTTTACTACTGGTTCTGCAGGTGTGGCTTGGTGGGTGTGGCTTAGTGGGCGTGGCAGGGGAAGGATACTGTAAGCTCCCTATTCCCTCCCCACCCCACTAACCTGCTTTCCAGCTCCATTGTCCTGTGCAGGGCAACCACAGAAGACCCAGCCGATCAACTGGGACTCGGGAGGCAGAGAAGAGATGGGGTTGGCGGGGCCAGTCAGAGGTGGGATATGCTGGTTCTCCGAACTACTCAAAATTTCCGCTACTGGTTCTCCAGAACTGGTCAGAAATTTCTGAATGCACTTCTGTACCCAACCATCCTTTATGTTTTGGCTTTCAATCCCCTGTATAAACCTATTTCCTCCTTTCTTTAATAAGGTCCAAGGACAGCCTCATGGTTTCCCAGTTCTGTTAAGACTTCGTCACCCATGAATTCTCAAAAGGAAATCAGGAAATCTGTATGACAGAGGAATTAAAGTTGGGAACAACCAATTTGAAAACAATCTAGTTTCCCACAGACTTAAAGATGGATGGAAGGCACATCCGTTCAGCAGCAGGTTAGAGTCCTTAATGACAGTAGCTACAAGGAGGAGCCCTCCTAGAAGAGGTGGCCATATCCTGACTCGCATGGCATTCCTCTCTAATTAGATGACAGTATCTGGCATTAGCCACACCTTGGTGACAAATTAAGTACACCCAATGGAAGTATGGCAGACTTGTTCTACAGATTTTTCTTCTGCCCTCTTTTTAAAGTCTTTTGAAACAAGGAAGCATAGTATTAATGATAAATACAGGGTGGATTCATCACATTAAAAGAAAAATAGCCGGCGATTCAAGAATTGGTGACATTCCAGATACGATCCTCCAATTCCTCAATTTAATCAAACTGAACAATTGTTGGAATGTTTCTTTCTCCCCATCCCTTGCTTATTCCCAAGAGAGAAAGTTGCTTAAAATTATCTCGTTTTGGCTTTAGACAATTGCCTAGTTACATTTCATAAACATACACGTCATTCTCATACAAATGATCGTAGTTCCCTTTTTATATTGATGGGAAAATGAACACAAAAAAGGCTCTGAGTTTGGAGGGGGTTTTTTGCCATTGATTTCTCACATTTATTTATTTACTCATTGGCATTTAACTCTGTAAGCTTCTCATTACTTGAAACCTGGTCAAATATGGGTAATCCTTGATTTACAACCATTGGTTTAGTAACCGTTCAGTTACAACAGCGCCGAAAAATGTGACATGTGACCATTTTTCATACTTAATGACCATTACAGCATTCCCCCATGATCACATGATCAAAATTTAAACTTGTCTTTAAAAATCAATAAAATTGTTTTCAAAAAAAAAAAAAATTCAAACTTGGCCATTTCACATTTATGACGGTTGCAGTGTCCCGGGGGTCATGTGATCCCCTTTTACGACCTTCTGACAAGCAAAGTCAATGGGGGATCCCAGATTCACTTAACAACCACGTGACTAGCTTCACGAGTGCAGCGATTCACTTAGTGACGGTGGCAATAAAGGTCGTAAAAAGGGGGCAAAGTTCACTTAACCACCATCTTGCTTAGCAACTGAAATTTTGGGCTCAGTTGTGGTTCGTAAGTCAAGGACAACCAGTACAAAAAAAGATTTGGCTCCTCTGGATTTTAAAAAAAAAACTTGTTTCATTTTTAAAAAGCCTACCATAATTAGCATTTTTTAAAATGCAAGTCTGCTTTGTTCCTTATTTTCACAAAACCCCTGTTGCCAAAGATTGGAGAATTGCCACTGAATTTGTCTGTGTGTGTGTGTCTCCAGGAAAGAATGAAAATAAGATCGTGGGATGCACAAACCCAAACACTTATTTTCCCTCCCCTGTGACAGGGGGAATCCAGCTTTTTATAACTTAGGGCAGGAAATGCAAATCAGGAACTTGTCCCAGTTCAGTCCATCATAGTTAAAATAAATAAATAAATAAATAAATAATAGGTGGCTTAGGGCAATGGGTGAATCAGGAGTGGGTTTCTACCGGTTTTGTCCACCTCTGTAGAACCGGTTGCTCCGAAGAGCAGCAGGCATAGAACCGGTTCACCCGCGCTCTTACCTGACCTTTTATTTCCTGCTTTTTCAACCGCAGTTGCTTTGCGCGGCACAGCTGCGGGTTGAAAAAAGCAGGAAAAAAAAGACTGCACACCAACCACTGCACACTTGCACACAGCACTGCTCAACTGTCCGGGCAGCTCAGCAGGTCGTAAATTGCACTCACACGCGACGCAGAGTAAATTGCATGCGTGCTTGACACAGAGCAAAAAAACCCGGTAGTTATACCAGTCGGAACCCATCCCTGGTGTGAATCCATTCCATGTGGCATCCTCTCCACCTTGCACGACTGCTGTGAAGACCTTCACAGGCAGGCAAATGGGCCTTGCCTTAGAGCAGTGGTGGCTAACCTTTTTCGGCTCCTGTGCCGATAATTGCGTGCGCTCGTGTACCAGAACCCAGAAGGCAATGCGTGCTGGGGGCCCCCCCATGCCTCCTGTGCATGCATGTGACCCCCCCTTGCACACTGCGCATCTGCACGCATAATTCCCCCCTCGCGCGCCGTGCATCTTTGCGCAGGCGTGCGTGACTCCTTCCTCGCGCGCCAAACATCTGCCCGTGCAATTCCCACCCTTGTGCACCATGTCTTTGCAGATGCATGCGCAACTCCCTCCTCGTGCGCAGCGCATCTGCGCATGTGCACGCATTTCCCGTGTACAGCACATCTGCGCATGCACGCACGTTTCCCCCTCGCACACAGCACGTCTGCACATGCGTGTGCAATCCCCACACGTAGCGTGTCCCTGCACATGCACGCACATCTCCCACACACACACACCCTCCACCCTGTGCATACACGCCAGATACCCGACAATAAGCTGTTGGGCGGCGGCATGCGCATGAGCAGTGGGGCTCTTCCGGGCGACCTCTCGCATGCCAGGGGAATGGCTCTATGTGCCACTTCTGGCACGCGTGGCATAGGTCCGCCAATACGGCTCTAGAGCTTCCATAGAGCTTCCGTGGTCAGCAGCAGTCTTATCAGCTGCAGGAGGCCAAAATAGAGGAAAAAGCGAACGAGTGTTGAGTTCGCATTCTTATTCTCAAGCTGCCCCTTTTGTGACTGACTCAGCTTTGGGGTGCGATCCAACAGCGAGTCTTTCCTTTCCTGTTCCAGACAAGGAATAATGGATGGAAGCGGATCAAGGAGAGATTCAACCTGGAAATAAGGAGGAATTTTCTGACCGTGAGAACAATTTAACCAATGGAACGGAAGTTGCCTTTGGAAGTTGTGGGAACTTCATCATTGGAAGCTTTCAAGAAGAGATTGGATAGAAATGGTGTAAGGTCCCCTGCTTGGGCAGAGGGTTGGACTAGATGACCTACAAGGTCCCTTCCAACTCTTGTTATTCTGTTACAGGTCATCCTCGACTCACAGCAGTTCATTTAGTGGCCGATGCTACAACAGCACTGAAAAAAGTGACTTGTGACCGTTTTTCACACTTACGACCGTTGCAGCATCCCCATGGTCACATGATCAAAATTCAGATGCTCAGCCCACTGACTCGTATTTAGGGTGGCTGCAACATCATGTGACCCCCTTTTGCGACCTTCAGTGGGAAAGCCAGATTTCACTTAACCAGCCGGTTACTAAATTAACAACTTCAGCAATTTGTTTAACAGCTATGGCAAGAACGGTCCTAAAATGGGGCAAAGTCCGCTTAACAACTGTCTTGCTTAGCGACAAACATTTTGGCCTCCATTGCAGTCGTAAGTCAAGGACTTACCTGTATGCTGGCCAAAAAGCTGGGCAGCTTTCTAGCTGCCTCCTTGCCTGGCTGTCTTGCTTAGCGACAGACATTTTGGCCTCCATTGCGGTCATAAGTCAAGGACTACCTGTATGCTGGCAAAGAAGCTGGGCTGCTTTCTAGCTGCCTCCTTGCCTGGATCAAGGGGTGCCCCGTCTCACTTAGTAACATTTTGGCCTCCATTGCGATCGTAAGTCAAGGACTACATGTATGCTGGCAAAGAGGTTGGGCTGCTTTCTAGCTGCCTCCTTGCCTGGATCAAGGGGCGCCCCGTCTCACTTAGTAACATTTTGGCCTCCATTGCGGTCGTAAGTCAAGGATTGAATGTATGCTGGGCAAAGAAGCTGGGCAGCTTTCTAGCTGCTTCCTTGCCTGGCCGTCTCGCTTAGCGACAGACATTTTGGCCTCCACTGCGGTCGTAAGTCAAGGACTACCACCTGTATGTTGGCAAAGGAGCCGGGCTGCTTCCTTGCCTGGAGCAAGGGGCGCCCCTGGCTGTCGCTGCCCACCCGGGAAGTGCCAGATGTGTGTGTGTGCGTGGGGGGGAGACTCGCAGGCCAACCCCCCCCCCCCACACGCCTTTCCTCTCCCGAATTAGGAGAGAAGAAACCCCCCTCCGCACCCCCACCCTCCCGGGGGACCCGGACTCGCGCAAGAAAAGCCCGGCGCGGAGGGGTGCGCGGCGCGCAAAATCCCGGCCCGGCGAAGCGCTGCTTTCGGGGCTCCGAGCGCGCAACGTCTGCCGCCTGAGCCCGCGGTTGGGCGACTGACAGCTCGCCCGCCCGCCCGCCCGCCGCCGGCGGGGCTGAGAAAGCAAAGGGCGGAGGGGAGGAGAGGAGAGGAGGGAGGGGAGTCCTTCGACCCCCGCCTCTCCTTCTTCGCTCGCCTCCCCCGCCCCGCCTCTCTCTCCTCCTCCCCCCCCCCACTCCCCCGAATGGTCGCTTCCAGCCGGGTGGCCATGTTCCCGCTTATAGAGTCGCGAGCGAGCGCGGGCGAAAGTCGAGCGGGGGGGAGGAGGAGGAGGAGGGTGGGGGGAGCCAGAAGGAGTGGCCGCGCCGGGCGGAGGCGAAGGGCGGCGGAAGGCGAGGCAGCGTGAGAGGAGACGCCGGACAGAGCCTCCTTTGCGCCCGCAGACCCCAGCGCGAAGCATGGCCGTGGCGGTGGGCAGACCCGCGGTGAGTCCGGCGGGGAGGACGGGAGGGAAGCCAGGGGCCCGCTCTGGAGCTGAGTCGGCCCGGCCTGAACACGTGTCCGCCGCCGGGTGCCGTCTGCCAGGCGGCCGGGCTGCTGCGTTAAGAGGAGATGCCGGCGGGAGGGCGCGAAAAGCTTCGCCCGGGAGGGCGGAGGAGGGTCGGTGGGGAGCTCGCGGTTCTCCGGGGGCCCCTTCGGAGCCCGGGGCCGGGCAGCGAAGGAGCTTTTCCTTCCTTCCCGCCTTTCGCTTCTCCGTCCAGAAGCCCAAGCCATTGGGCGAAGCTGCTGGAGTTGGAGCCTTGGGCCTCTTCAGACGTTACGGGAAACACGTGGGTTTCAGCTCGATGGGGTGGTGGGGAAGGACTGGGCCGTGCTAATTGTTGTGTATTGTATTTAAAAAGCCTGGCGGGTTTAAAACAGCCAAGCGCTTTGCTATTGGAAGGTATTCCAGGGTTTGTTATTTGGGGCGGGGGTGGTTTTGCAGTGGCGGGGAACAAGGATGGGGGCGAAAAGCAGCGCGCGTTTCTCGGGGTTTTAGACACGTGTTTGTGTTACAGTGGCAATCCTAATGATAATAGAAGCCCCCATCACTACACACACCTCACTCACTCCTCACTCACGCACACAATCCTGCAATGGGTTTTTGCAAATGGGCTGGGCACCCCTCCGATAAGGTTGTGAATTAACAGAGCTTTTTTTCTACACGTGTGAATGCATCTTTGGGCTTTTGCAATGAGCTGGGCATCCCTCTGACATGATTGTGAATGAACAGAGCTTTTTCTACACATGCGAATGCATTTGGGGGCTTTTGCAATGAGCTGAACATCCCTCTGATACTACTATGAATTAAAAGCTGTGTGAATGTATCTTTGTAGCTGCCATTTGGGATCTGTCTAGTGCTGTTGAACCCAGAAAAGCTTCTGCCAACTACCTTTCCCCAACCTGCTGCCCTAAAGGTCCATGGGAGGAGAACCTTTCAAAATATATTTATTTGTGAAATTTATTTACCGCCCGTCTGGTATCCAATGACTCTTCCCAGCGGTTTTTCCACCCGCCCGTCATCTGCAACCTTTTTTCCCTGCCAACCTCCTCCTTTTCCTCCCTCCCCCCATTCCCTTCATTTTCTCCTAGCTCTTCTTTTGGGGGAAAATTAAGTTCAAGCACAGTTCTAAATTCCCAAAGATGAATTAAGCGAGCTGTCAAGCCAGAAATCCCTAGCCTAATTCTTTCCGCAGTTATCCTGATGGAGGATTTTTTTTTTGGCAGTTCAGTCTCTCCCATCCTTTATGTGTCTCATCTGTCCTGAGGAAAGGAACAATATGGATGAAAGTTTTTATAAGTCTAAAAATGTGGGCCGCTCTGATAAGTTCATAATCATAATTGAACAGGGCAGACGGCTTTCTTTCGCGGATTCTGACCTAGTCGTCCAACTTACAGGCTTTTCCTCTCAACCCTACATTTCTGGACTGATTTCATCTCCTTGGTATTTAGACAAGGAAGTAGAAAACCCTCTGGAGATTCAGCAGAGTTGATACTACAAGGGCAAAATCTGGTTCAAGAACAGACGGTACATCTGTGGTTTTCAAAGCATTACTTTATAGGGAAATTGTAAAACCTTTCTTCCAAACAAATTCAGAAAGTTGTTGGAGAATGTATAGAGAAATGAATATATTGTGATTTGATGGCCTCTTATTGTGTTTTGAATAAAGGCAAAATGGAACACCCGTAGTGGTTGGAGGTCTGCCTTTCAAGAATGAATTCTTAGAAGCGTTTCAAATGCCTTCTGTTCTAAAAACAGTAATGTAAGTCAATATTATAGACCCGCAAGATTAATTTAATCTCTTTTTTCTATCACTGCCCCTCCCGAATTTCATGCAACAGTTAGCCAAAGAGTTCTGGTGTACTCTGGGACTGGAGGGAGATCTGTATTTTGTGGGGGAGGGGACTGTAAAATCAGCCCAAGAGGAAGAACTGTAACCCCCCCCCCCCAAGCCCCTTGCCCTTGGAATTAGCATTTCAGTTGTGTGTTCTTCTCTATGTGTGGAGCTCAGAAAAGTGAAGACCAGAATATGAAGTTAATGACTCAGTTCATTTAGCTGATTTCTATATTTTTCAGAAAATTTTCTAGCTGGTGAAAAGCTTTATTTGCTGGATTCCACAGTTGTGATGGATATGCACACACACACAAAAATCAAAATGTTAATGCGTACATTAATTTGTCATAGCAAAATCAGATCTTGCTTCTGTAGTATTGCAAAGGCTGTTGACATGCCAAAGAACAAAGAGGCATTATAAATGTTAATTAGCATTGGTGAAATTGTTAAATAGAGATTAAAAGTGAGCCATTTTGGTCTAGTCTAGGGGATAAGGCAGCAGGCTAGAAAGAGGAAAATCCTGAGTTCAAGTCCCACCTTAGCTATGAAAGCAAGCTGGGTGACTTTGGGCCAATCAACAGGACACTGAGAGTTCTAGTCCCGCCTT